AGCTTAAACATTAATTCAGTATTCAAATCCAGTGATTAATTTTGAGTTCTTCTGTAGTTTATTGATGCCTATCGCATCTACTCCTTGATGATGGCCAAACCAAGATTCCTTTACAGCAGCTAGCTTAAATGTCACCCGATAGGCTAGTTTATAATGCAATAGCAAAATAAGAGTTACTCCCCTCTAACCATGAAAGCAACGATAATGGCTAGTATAATACAGTAATATATATTTTTAACCACGCATAATCTGGCTACTCTGAATTTGAGCTGAACAAAAATCGTTCCCTGCACCTAACTTTTCTAGGGCTTTTGAATGAGATATGAATCATTGAAATCGGACCAGTGGGAGCGAATGAGTTGCTTGGACACACACACGTACAAACACTGTACTTTATATATAAGATTTTGTTGTCTCACGACGCCATTAGTTGTCGGGTAGTTTGAAATTTGTGTCAGTGAACTACAATTTCTTTTGTTTTCTTTGTCAGCGGTGTACCACTGAACTCCATCATGCAGAATAAATACCACCCATTGACATTCATCGATATTTGCAGAACGTCTACAGAGATTAAAAAGCTAGTACGAACACGTCTATGCAGTGGCGATATGTGTGACAGCCATGCTCTGTTTATTAAACACTGGATAAAACCCTCCGTGATAAGAGGAAGTACCTCAGGCGCGAAGTCATCTGGTAAATCATTTTTTGAAAAAGGCCCGAATCGTTGAATATTTAGGAACTTCTTTCAAAATCCTGAAGTGGCCCTAAACATTTCGCTAATAGTCTATTTCTGATTGCGATAAACGTTTTTTTTTTTTTTTTTTTTTTTTTTGGTATACGAGTTTTGAGATGCTTTCCATGTTTTGTTTTATTGTTTGTTTGTTTTTTATTAAATACTAGCAGTAGAGCCCGGCGTTGCCCGGGGATGTAACAGTAAGAGATAGATCAAGTATCGACCATCATGAAGACTGAAAAATAAAATTGACAAAGATTATTGTTTAAGGTTGACGGAGACGCATGTCTTAATTAGTTTTTTTTTTTTTTTTTTTTTACGAATTGGTCAAACCGAAACAAAAACATTGTTTTCAATCGTTATGAGTCTACCGATTGAATAGAACTTTATTATAAACAATTGTCTTGTAAATGGAATTTTTAAAGCATTCTGAATGTAAAAATAAAGAAAAAAGTGTGCAAGACAATAAGAAACACTACCTGCCAAAAAAAAGTGAAGTTTTGTTGAAATCGGTTGAAAAATGTAGGAAATCCGATCCCATATATAAACGAACACACACACACACACACAAACAACCTGGTTTTTATTTTAAGTATAACTCGATATGAGTTGACCCCCTTTCATTCTCGTGATGCCTCTTAATCGTGTTTTCAAAATGATTTCGTGCAAAAACAATTGTGTTTTTCCAATTTTTGGCGCTGTCAGAACCACCGCAAGGTAATTTTACGTAGTCCTTTGAAGTTTTGTTGAAATCGGTTGAAAAATGAAGAAAATCCGATCCAATATATAAACGTACAGACACACACACACACAATCTGCATTTTATAATAAGTAAGATTAAAAATACAAACCGGCTTAGACTGAGAAGTCCTACTAAAGAAAATTTTTTGCCTCCGACAGGAATCGAACCCGCATCTCTTTCTGACCATCAGGGAAACCATACTTTAAGCAAAAGAGTGCGTTTTTCGTCTCGGCCACGAAGGCAAAACTGAGCGTGGCGATGTTGAAATTAATTATTTAAAGAAATATATTTTCTGGTCGAGGTTTCTACACATTTATATCTACTAGCTTCTGTTTCGTACCCAAAACTTAAACAGGGATATTTTTTTGAAAGGATTTTTATTCCAGCATTGTTCTTTTTTTATTTCTATAAACAAGCTGGAAAATCGAACGCCCGTGAACAAAACAATAAAATCATTAATTTTGAACAGTTTATTCCTAATTTCATTCCCAATATATATAACCACTCATTCAGAAATTGGAAAAATATTTTTTAAAAAATCATATAGACAGGCTTTATCGGTTAAATATTAGTCATCAGTCTATTTGAATTGGTTTCGTCTACCTTTATATACATATACGAACTATTAGATTCTCATTGGCTCTTCTGTAAAGATACCCGGATATGACATTCTCAAGTTTATTATTGTGTCAAACGTTGGTAATTTAATCGATATTACCTCCTCATGGATCTTTTTTTTCCCTGCACAATTTAAGAAAAAACTTGGTTTGGATATTTGATATTTTCATACCTACCTCCTTTTTACGTGTGCTAATAATATATATGTATTTTTTTAACTGAAATCTCAGTTGAGCTATATTTTAGAAAGGTTACGATTATATCTGACGGCAATAAAAGTGAATGTATTCATTCGTTTAGCAAATTCGGAATGAATTGAATAAGATCAACATTATTTGACACACTACGTTGCCAAGAGGCAAAGAGTAAATTAAACAATTCCGACCCCACCATGGTGTAATTATTAGTGAGCTAGTCTATCAGCTCTTATGTTACTTTAAGTCCGATTCTTACTGAAAGCGTCCACATTTGTAGATTTGTTATTTGGCATCTGTCATTCACGGGAGGCTATTGTATTGTGGACTTGATCATATTCAGGTTCAGCTTGTGGCTTCTAACACTTCCTGGTTAGGTAGATATAGGGATAAGCCTGCTACCCCTGCATTAGGACCCCCTCCACATCACTGAAAGGTGCCAATAAATATGGTTCTAGCGTCGTCGCAAGAATATTTTCCTTTTACTAGACTACTTGGGAACCAAAGCTATAGAACTTCGTCTACTCTGCTATTTTACCCATAGCTGGGGAAGAAGAGAAAATCATACATTTCTCAGGGGTAATTGTGCGAAAGTGAATGCTCCTACTTCGGCTGGGATTTGAATTCTGCCTACCTATCCCATTTTCCACACAAATAGCTACTAAGGTACGTGCACGCCTATTGTGGAATAGACTAAGTAAAGTTTAGCAAATGACCTGCTTTGGAACATAGTTGGTGAGTTTTTGAATAGTGTATTGAATAAATACCTACCTCATGAACCGTAGTCGAGATCAGTATGAATTTATTTCCTTCGACAGGTCTACATACAGTTTTGAAATCAAAGCTGTCTTTTTCTTAGACTGGTTGTCAATCACAGCGAGAGGGCAATTTAAATAATATCTACAGAAGGACGACATAGATCCATACGTTTCCAAAGGGTATGTGTACAAAAGTTATTATAACGAACAAGAATTTGAAATCGGTTCATCGATTTCCTGTTTCCACCATACCCATTCCACAACAGGCACATCCTTTAAACAAATAAATTTATATATATATATATATATATATATATATATATATATATATATTATTTCTTCACGTACGAGAAGTAGCTCTTTTCTCCGTCTTTCAAAAATGTCAAATTACACCATCGAGGGTCAAGGTTTTGGCAATAGGATCTCAATTGCCCTCACACAAATGCCTTTTCATGTCATACATTGGAAATTTAAATGAATGAAAGTGACCATTATTTAATGAGCGCGCTCAGTCTGTTGCAGATTTTGTATCGATTCATTCTGTCTTCTTTTAATAGCTAGGTTTACCTATCGCCCAGTTCACACTATTCCACTGTCTTTTGAACAGGAATCGACGTTTATCCCTTGTTTCCAGTTTAGGATCGGGTCTCCAATACATTCTAAAGTCTATTTCAAATCTATCCTTCTAACGACTCCGTTTAAACTCTGTATATATATTTTTTTATTTTTCCTCAATATGAGTAGATAGGTTCGCCTATCATCCGGTTCACATTCGGAGTCGAGGTATATCCCTTGTTTCCTCTTTATGATTGAGTTTCCGGTACCTTCTATTTCAAATACGATATGAGTAGATAGGTTCGCCTATCGACCGGTTCATACGCGTCCCCGGTTTTGGAACAGGCGTAGGGGTTTATCCTTAGTTTTCTGTTCCATCAAAAGTCTATTTCACATCTATACTTCAAACGCCTCCTCCTCAACTCTGGGATTTTATTTACTTTTTATTTATCTTTCCACAATTAAAGTAGATAAGTTTGCCTATCGTCCGCTTCACACGCCTCGCAGGTCTTTTGAATAAAAATAGAGCTTTATCCCTTGTTTCCTGTTTAGGATTGGATTTCCGATTCCTTCTAAAATCTTCTCTTTCTCTTTCACTTGCCATTACGTCTTAGTGACATTATTATCTTGCTTGGGATGAATTGATAGAAAAAATCGCTATTTGTCTGACATGGATTGATTAATCTTAATATGTTTTTATTATTATTATTATTATTATTATTATTATTATTGAAATAAAGTAACCAGTAGCTTTAAACTAAGATGAATCTTTTTTTAAGAAAAAAAGTATCAAAATTTGGATTATGATTCTGCCTGAGAACAGAGAAGTCTTTGAGGAATCACCCGTTCTTTGAACAGGAGTAGTGGGTTATCCTTTTATTCCTGTTTAGTATTAGGTTAACGGTTTCTTCTAAAGTATGTTGTTTCTCTTTCACTTCCAATAGCCTCTTGCGTTTTAGTGGCATTATCGTCTTGCTAAGGCGAATTGATTAAAACATGCCAGGATGCGTGTAACCATACCTCTCCACAATCTACTATCCTTTGTTGCTCTAAATAACATTTTACCATTCTCCGTGTTCTTAATTTTTCTTCACGTAAAATCGTTAATTAGGTTACTCAACTTGCGTTTAATATTCACTGGGGGTATTAAATTCTCCGAGTCCTCTTTCCTCATTATGTATCGCAGAAATTCCAGCTCTTTCCAGTTGTTAATACGACGTTCCTTTTAGTTTCTCTTCTCACAACTTCGTCATTCCTAGCATGGCTTGTCCATGATTTTCTCAGCAGTTATCGATAGAACCACGGTTCTATTGTTTCAAATCTCTTCATTATCTATAAATTCTCCCTATAGGACTTGGGGCGCCATAACTCTTTTCACCTATCATTTGTTGTTTCAGGCAATGATTGTCTACTTACTCTCTCTCTCTCTCTCTCTCTCTCTCTCTCTCTCTCTCCTCTCTCTCTTTCTCTCTTTCTCCCTCCTCTCTCTCTCTCTCTTTCTCCCTCCTCTCACTCTCCCTCTATCTCTCTCTCTCTTTCTCTCTTTCTCCCCTCTCTCCTCTCTCTCTCTCTCTTTCTCCCTCCCTCCCTCCTCTCTTTCTCTTTCTCTCTTTCTCTCCCTTCCCTCTTTCTTTCTCTTTCTCTTTCTCCTCCTCTCCTCTCCCTCTCTCCTCTCTCTCTCTCTCTCTCTCTCTCTCTCTCTCTCTCTCTCCCCCTTCCCCTCCCCATTCCCTGTCCTGCCATCCACTTATTTTTCAAAATTTTCCGGATGGGTCCAGCCAAAGCTGCTTGATGTCAAACCAATTAACGAGTACTCAAGTTTAATTTGGTCAGACGACTCTGATTATTTTATCGATATCACTAATTATCGATCATCCAACCGAAGTTTCAGTTCGTTTAAATATGATCAGAGTGTTTATTCTGTTATTGATCTGCTACTTTCTTGCTTGCTTTCTTCTTCCTTGCTCGCCCATAACCGTTCACTAATCCTCGATGACCTTCAGATTAAGCATAAGTAAACGTAACTGTTCCTAAATAAAGCGAGAAACAGTGCCAATACCCGAAAAAAAACTAATTTGTCTCTGTCTGACCAAGAAACTAGAACTGTATGCTTGATACTTGAACGCACAAAGAAAGAAGTATGCTTTTAATGTAACCAGACAGCCCTGAGAGACCAAGAAAACCTACTAAGATTTATTACTGGAAGACATAATCTTAGTAACATAAGATATGCTGCTGACACTTGATGACAGAGCCAGAAGGAAGAAAGAACACTTAAGATAGCAAAAGAAAACAAACAAAGACCAGTAACTGAAAGACGATAGCATTCATGGTTATCGTTAAAAGATTAAATTCAATATGTAAGCTGGGGTCGTAAAGTCAAACTGATACAGAATTTTAAGTTTACAGTGTTATAAAAGACGTGGGGAAACGTGACGCAGAAATCCGAAGAAGCGTTGGAAAAACGAAAGATGACTTTGAGAAACTAACCAAAATACTATGACATAGAAAAATATCCTTAGAAAGAAAAAAAACAATTCAGAATTGCTATGAAATGTCTAATATCATATGCGGTTGTGAATTCTGGGCAGTAATTCTGTTGGAGAGGCTTGAAGCGGCAGAGACGGACATCTGTCGATGAATGCTGGGAATACCATCGAAAGTACACGTGAGCAACGAGGAAGTTTTAAGAGAAATAGGAACAAGAAAACTGATACTTAGAAGCAGAAAGAGAAGCTGTAACTTTAGGGCCATATAATGTGGAAAGAAGGCCTAGAGAATTTAACATTAGCGACACATACTGAAGACAGGAGAATCAGGGAAGAAACAGTGAGTAACAACGATGTTGAAGGAATGGATATTTTTCGTTGCGTTCCATGTCGTCACTGAAACCCAACGCTACTGCATAGATGTTATCAACGAAAAGACGGTGTTTTTTTTTCTTATTCGTTTCATTAGAGGAGAGGGACACACGTGACAGCATCGATTCTAATAGGCAGCGAGAGGAAGAACTTCAAGGGAACGCATACCCTGTGCGTCCCTCCCCGTTTGTTCTCAGCCCATATCTCAAACCGGGTTTTCTCGGTCTTCCAGGGTTGTCTGGTTAAATTAAAAGCATATTTCTTTCTATTTTCTCAAAATAAACATATTCCATATTGTTCTTTTTTTTTTTTATAGTCCTTTCTTCTGGCTTTCCTTTACTATCTTCTATAGAAGTAAGCACAATTTATGAGGATACGCACGATAGATAAAAGTTGACATTAGACTGGAATAGGTTAAGATTGTAATGACAGGTAAGCATACTCTCGGAAATCTGTCCCACAAAGAAGGCATTCTCCATAGTTGTATCCTTGTGCCAGACTTAGCTACAATTAACATATAATATTTTCAACTTTTGTCAGGATCAGAGTCTTTCTTATAAAAGCAAAAATCCATTTTCATAGAGCGGGTATTCAGTTTTACAAAGCTAATTTTGAATTGTCCGAAACTTATAGAGAATTATAGTTTACATAAAGTGTATTTAAGCAGAAAGAATATTTTTAACGATGTTTTGTTGAAGAATATCGACCAAATCGATATATCCTTTTGTTATTAATTACTTTATTGTTTTACACAATCGATAAACTTTTCTCCCGAGCACTTTCGAATATTGCTACATTCGTTGCCAAGTATTTCGCTTTTTGTCTTTTTAACAGACGAAAAACAAAATGCAAACACTTACCAATTGAACGAAATGAACTTTGGAAAGTAGACCTGGTTATGACGATGAACTTCATCCGACAGCAAGGTTTCTGATCGGGAGATTAGAGGTATTGAGGAGAACCACCTCTTAATTGCTGACTTGGGGTGGTAGCACCTGTTAGGGTCCAAGCTATGGGCAATTAGTGAACTCCTAAACAAATACTATGAACGTATAAAAATGCATGTTTATAGTAAAATTACCAACAATAAATATTTATAGTAAAATGACGAATAATACATTTTATCTGTAATGGAAGGCATTTAATTTAGATTTCGACATAAAAGAACCCATAGAGATGTTGATATGTCGCGAAACGAAATCAACCAAACAACTAACACGAAATAAGTTTTTCATGGCATCAATCTATGTAATATCCTATAATTTCTTAAATAAATCAAACTATATTCCAAAAATATAACTTCAACAAAACTACAATATAAAATGCACCACCTGTAGTAATTATCTCCAAAGAAACATGTATATGCACAAAAGCTGCATATTATCTACCATGTATTCAATTGTGAAAGCACAATAACATATATCATATTTTTATTACTTGAAAGCTCCAAGAAAAATAAATTTCGACATTAAATGACCCATGAAGGAGTTGATATGCCGATAAACAAATGAATCATATGAAATCTCTGTTCGTCGGAGTTGTCGAGTCTATTCTTTATCATTATAAAGCTTTACTCATTGCCTCCAATAATCATATCTACACAAACATGTATATCCACTAAATCTGAGTTTCATTTACGATGTATTCAATTGTGAAAGCAGAACAACATATATCGTATTTTTATTACTTCACAACTCCCAAGGAAATTAAATTTCGGTATTAAATGACCCATAAAGTAGTTGATATGCCGTTAAACAAACAAATCAAATCAATCGCTAAGTCAAATAGTACGAAAATGCCTTGAACACTGGCCGAGGGGAAGTAACGAAGAATTAAGACAAAGGCAAATATTTTTTTAAGCATTTCACTCTAAGCAAAGCGGGAAGTCACTAGCACGAAAAGGGTTACAGAGAGTTGGAGCGAGAGTAAATAAGAGTGATAGAGCAAATGATGAAGAGAAGGATAGGGGATAGATCAAGGCATATGGAGACGTCGATTGACATTACATTTGAATAGTTGGAGATTATAGCTATCAGGAAAACAAGAAATGGAGAGGGAGTTCCACAGGTGAGAAGTGCGAGATATGAAGCTATCGGAGTAGAAGAGACGGCTACATTTATCACTTTCAACAGTGAAAGGGTGAGAGCGAGATGCCAGCCTAGTTGAACGCTTACATTCATGAAGTCTGTGGACCAGCGAAAGTAGATCATGGGAGCAGTTACCGTGAAAGTATTTGTAAAAAAGATAGTGGGAAGCAACGGCACGTCTGCGAGAGAGCGACTGCATACGAGATGCCAGATCAGGGCCAATTACATTGCATATCCGTCTTTAGATTTTATCAAGGAACTTGAGACAAACAGAAGGGGCTCCTGATCTTATAAGGCAGCAATGCTCCATGCAAGGACGAATGGTTGATTTGTAGATTTGAATGATCAACTTCGGAGAGAAAAGTTTCCTGGCGCAGCACGGGGAGCCAACTTTCCTTGCGGTGGACGAAGTTACTGACTATTTGATGTATTTGTTCCATATTAGGTCAGCAGACAATATGAGACCGAGCAGTCGCAAAGAGGTGCTCTAGTAGAGTTGAGCGTCGGACGTTCTAATGGGAGGCAGTGATGGTTCTCTGTGGTGAGTAATTGAGAGCAGTTTTGTTTTTGAGACATCAAAGTTAACCAACCAATTCCTGCCCGAGTCCACATCCGACTGGAGGTCCTTTTCGAAACAAATGGCAAGATTAGTTTTGTCAGCGACACTAGATTTGCTTTTGAGACAGGAATAAATAGTAGTGCCGTCCGCATAGATGCCTACTTGGGAATCTATGACGTCAGGAAGAATGTTGATGAAGATAAGTAACAGAGTATGGCCTAGGATGGAGCCTTAGGGAACACCTGCGTTCGTGGGATAGGAGCTGGAGGAGAATCCGTTAAGACGACCTTAAATACACGGTTTGACAGGAATTATGAACAATCGACCTGAAATTCCATAACCCTGAAGCTTGCGAAGAAGGCCAGCATGCCAAACCCTATCAAATGCTTTTGAGATATCTAGAGCCACGACACGAGCTTCTCCGTTATTATGAAGTGCTTGGTAAACAATTTCAGTTATGACCGTTAGCACATCAGCTATAGAACGGGCAAAGTGGAAACCATATTGCTCGTCGGAGAGCAAATCATGGGATGTAAGGTGCTTAACCACTTCGGAGTTGATTAAAGCTTCTAAGACCTTGCCGAAGAAGAGTAGGAGACTGATAGGATGGTAATTAGAAGGGTCAGAATGGTCTCCAGAGTTCTTAAAGATAGGAACAATGGATATGGACTTCCAACAGGCTGATTCATTGAGGCAATAGTTATATAATTTGGAGAGGGCAGGGGCCAGTTCAAGCGCACATTTCTTTAGGACAATTGCTGTATCCCGTCTCCACCACTAGCCTAGTGGGGGTCTAATTTAGAGATAATGCCCAATACCGATGACGGGGTTATGTGCAACTCGCTCAACAGAGCCTCAGTTCCAAGAGGGAAATCGGGTGTGGGTACACCGGAAGAGTCGAGCGTTGAATTGAATGAGAATTTCCTCAAACTGGTTGAACAAAGATGGTATAGGGGGTATGCTATTGTTAAGTACACTCTTGCAATGATGCCAATAATCCTTGGAGCCGAATTTGCGAGATGCAATACGTTCTTTCATTCGAGCAGCAAATAGTGACTTTGCTTCATTGAGGACATGCTTACTCTCGTTAGGGGCAGAGACGTCTTTTGCAGTTAGACATGTCGCTACGATATAGGTAGAAGTGGTTCCTATGGGCAATGGCAGCTGAGCAAGCAGCGGAGAACCAAGAGGAGGATCTCGATTTGACCTTATATTTCCTTAAGGGGACGAAAGCCTCAATACCAGCTTTAACCCAGGAGGAGACCTCGGAAGCACATTCTGGAAGTGTGAAGACAACATCCCAGGGGACATTGCGAAGAAAATCCCGGAACAAGTCCCAATCTGCTCGTTGATATAAGAACGATGTTCTAGTGGTAGGAGGTTATTTGCAGGGGTGGAGTTGAAGGAGATGTTGACAGACACTACAGCATGATCGGAGTTGCCAAGAGGGCAGAGTTGCGTGGCGCTACAGGACTCGGGGATGGAGGTAAAACATAGATCGAGAAAAGAAG